GTGACTATCGCTCCAGGCATATTCGAGTCGAGGATGACTGCAGTGATGCCCAAGAAGCTTTTCGAAGGGTTAGCAACTGTCATGGAGTTCCCGCGCAGGGCAGGCAAGCCTGCAGAATTTGCACAACTAGTGAGACAGATTATCGAAAACTCCATGCTCAACGGAACTGTTATTCGGCTGGACGGCGGTCTAAGGATGCCCAGCAAAATCTAGCCATGCAATCAATCTCGTCCCGAATACACCAAGTCCTATCATATCGTACAAACCTAGTACCCTGCTTGTGCTAGTTGTCAACCTAAAAATAAAAAATGCTATCAAAGAACTGAAATCCCTTAGTGAGTCCTTGAATCCACACAGCCTATCAACGCGCCAGGGAGACAATCATGTGGCTCTCGATCCTCGAGCTGTATGAAGCTCTGGAGAGCATGATGCTACGCTACTAGCTACAATGCCCTTGAATTGGCTTGTCGAGAGTTGGACTCATACGACGTGCGCCGACGTGGAGAGGAACGGTCCCGATAGTTGCGACTAATATCGGGCGCTGGGGATCGCTCCCGAGGCTCATAAGGACGGTAGATTTCACCAGAAATAGCAGGGAGGGGCCGACCCCGCGGCTCAAGGTACGGTTCATACGCTGAGCTAGCTGCATGAATAGAAGTACCCAGGGCCAAGCCCTGTAAGAAGGCTTGTGCTGCCAAAGGGTCAGAGAGGACGGCCGGGCTCGGTCCAGCACCTCCAAAAAGCGACTGAATACGGTGAAGAAGAGCTCTAGGCTCAGTGTAGCCGTAGGTATTCCAGTTGTAAGCAGCTGCATTGGCACCTGCAGGAGTGGCGTAGGCATACTGGCCGTGGAAACTTGCATGACTGGCGTTTGCAGACGGCTCTCTCTTCACCGCGGCTCGTCCTGGCCGATTACGATCGCTGACACGGTCCGTTTGTTCACCAGATCTAAGTCTTGCCGCGACTTTCTGTGCCGGATCCTCGCAGGGTAGACGACGGACTTGAACGAGCGCCTTCTCGGCCACCGCTTGCTTTGCATCATAGGCAGTCGAATGGGCACGATCGCCGTGGACGACCTTGTTCATTAACTGGACAGAGCACTTGAAGCCATAAGGACCCGAAGTCTCTTGCCACTTGGGGTTGAAGTGGCGCAGTTGACACTCTGCGCTAAGGCGGGCAGTGGCAACGCCCCCAGTTTGGCGACCCGATTGACTGTGAGCCTCACCAACTTTTGGCAAAAGCTGAATTAAGGAAGAGTCCTTGGCCTTTCTCCTGACTTCTGGTAACATTTCTCCCTTAATTTCGGATGGTGTTGTAATAACGCGATCCATTTCCTGGGTGCTGGGGGAGGTGGCCGTGGCTGACGTGGCCGCACGAAGTGTGAAGAGGGGCGGGTTTACCGCACTATGATCTGGTGCTATGTAGTAGCAATAATAGTTAGCAGGCAGTCTTAGAGAACAAGACATATGAAGAGAAGGAGCAAAGTGGCAGGTCACGCACAATAGCGTTGGGGGGTTACGGCTAGTCGTTGGATAGTACCTGTACAGGGGGTCACAGAGAATAGGTTGCTTTGGTCCACTATGGTCAAACGACCATAGTCGTTTTCCTTCAGGAGTTGTTGTCGAAGGCGATCCTGTCCAGATCCCTTTTGAGGAACTGGGCCACGCAAGAGAGGAGAGGAGATATGGTTTCTGGTGGAGGAGCGTAGTATTGCAACGGGAACGGACGAGGGGATTGCTGGAGGGACGGACAGGACGGGGGTTGGGGCTGGGGCTGTCACTATGGCCGTATTCAAGCCCTCAGGAACTGTTGCCTGAGGATTCTTTGAAGGCACCGATGTGAAGGGTAGTCCTAGAAAGCCAGACAAAAACCGCAATGTCAGTACACATATTAGTAGAACATAACGCTTGACAACCAAGGACGAAGGAGATGGCAGATGAGAGTAAAGCATAAACACTCTTCTCGAGGTACAGCTAAACATGGGCTGCCATGGCAAATACTCACCTCCTCCCCTCTCTCCATCTACTCCAGTGACCACAGCTGTGTCACTAGCAGTAACCCTCCCACCAAGGATATCTGCTAGAGCGTCCATGGTGGCTGTCGTTACCAGGGTCTAGCCAGTAGATGCTTGGATCGGTCACAGAATAAGAGCGCGGGGCGTGTTCGTAAATTGATTGGGTACACGATCCGCATCAAAAAGGGTGCACTGGGAGCGACAAGAAGAAGGTGATGAGAGATAGGAGACGGGGGAATGTGTGATGTGTGATGCGGGATTGGGCTGTTCTGATATAGAAAAGACAGTCAAAGAGCGTGATCGGCACTGCTCTGCACAGGAACAAAGTGAACATAGAGCCGATGAGGTTATATTGTGCACAGGGCTTTAAGCTGCTGATAGCAGGGACTGGAGGAGAAGCACAACCTACTAGTCAAGATTTGAGCAGGTCAGGTATTTCGGGTACTGGTAGTGTATTGAAGTGACGCCAATGGAGTGGGAGAACGGGAGAGAGGGCCAAAGGTACCTACAGTTAGATAGAGATACTACCTGTGTAGTAATACGTGGATAAGTAGAGACATACCTACTTCAGATATAGGGCGGCTGGCTCAATGAATCTAGGTAGCCTCAATTACATGTGCTCTTTCCTAACTTTTGTCGATCTTCACAAAGCGCAGGGGAAACGCAACAGCAGTATTTACTTAGACAAGCAGCTACCTATAGCAGGTACACCTTCTTAGTACACATGTACCTGGATACTTGCCGACAAGCAGAGTTGTTGCTATCTATGTACCTATGTAGGTATACTAACAGGCGCATGCATACATATATGTAGCTCAGACAAGCAGAATAGAACAACAGATCTCCTTCATACATGGTGTACGAATCTACATACTAGGTATGTACATAGTAAGTAAGTAAGTAAGTAAGTACATGGTTTGAAACATGACATACATGTAGGTCACCATTGATCAAACCTGACCCTCTCCCATGCACTTTGACCTTATGCCTTACGCCTTGTCTACCTAGATACTGCAGGTCAGCCTCCGGCATTGCATCTAAGATATAAGGCATCCATAGTTATCCTTCCAGATGCATTCACCGATGGATATCTCATATATCTCGTTCAGGTTAGTACCCGTTGTCCTTGTACAGTGTTGCCAACGCCTCCCCCTTCTGCCAACGCAAGATATTCTCAACATGTTGGTCGTACCACTCCACGAGATTATCGGCCACAACATATCCCATATGAGGTGTCAGGACAACTTCGCTTCGCCCTGATGCTCCCCATTCCGTCGATCGCCATTCACTGTCCGTAGGTAAAGGCTCGATGCCATATACATCTAATCCAATCCCCCGAATCAGTCCCTTCTTCCCGGCTTCAAGCAATTCGTTCTCGTTTACGATAGGCCCTCGAGATGTGTTGATCAATAATGCCGACTTCTTCATTTTCTCCAGATCATTTATGCCCACGAGACCTCTCGACCGCTCTGATAGAACCACGTGGATGCTGACCACATCTGCCGTGCTGAAAAGCTCATCTCGACTGACCACCTTGAAGGTCTTGGCCCCAGTCTCGTCTTCTACTGGGAGTCCCGCCGCTCTGGCCTGCTCGTCCGCTGCGTCTTGTGTTAGGTTTGTGCTCCAAGCAATTATTCTCATACCGAAAGCCAAATGCATAATCTTGGACACCGCAGAACCGAGTCTGCCTAAGCCAACAGTGCCAAATATCTTCCCAGGTAAGTCCACAGCATATTTGACCTGCCATCCTCCAGATTTCATAATGGCATCGTCTTGGGGGATGCTACGGGCGAGGGCTAAGATCAAGGCTACGGTGTGCTGTGTGGTGCTATCAGGGCCAGAACCTCGAGCCTTATCATTACTCGTGCCAGCGACAGGTATTTCACGAGCTTGAAGAGCTTTAACATCAATCGATGCGTTTCGCTGCCCAGTTGTAAGGAGTAGCTTCAAGTTAGGAAGCCGGTTGACCACTCCAAGAGTAAGTGTTAGTGTCTTCCTTCCTATATAGGAATGCCAGAAAATATAACTCTTCGCTCAATCTAGCCAGTGCGGTTTTCACCCTTGACATTGATAAAAAACGACAAGTATGACGCCCGATGTGACTCACGCTCTGCTGGGAATGGCGTTCTTTCTCGCATCGAGCCTGTACACCGTTAGAATAAATTTGTTTGTAGGAAATGTACTGTGAACGTACAAATGATATTGAATGGCTCCAGCCTGCCGACGAGAGCATCCTTCGCATCTTTACTAGTGTCTGGGTGGTTGTACGGTAAAAGAGTATCGGTAAACGTCGTGACTTGATAACCGGCTAAGCGTAGCCGTTCGAAGGGACCTTTTGAAAAGCCCTGGTAATCGTCCAGGACCGCGATCGTAGGAAGCGACATGATTGAATTTGTAAAGACTGGCTGTCAGCAACCTTTTTTCCCTCGAGACGGAGGGGAAATGGTCGCATCAAATACCCAGCATTTGGAGTTTTAAGAGCAGATGTCGTCATTCGGCTATGAGAGACAACCATCCCCGCAAGAGCCTACCGGCTCGGCTTGTAGTACCGGCGACGTTCGGAATGCCGATTACGGCATTTTCTTCCCCGACTTTGCTTGACTCACAACTATAGGTAACCATATTTACTATGCGTATAAATTTTAATGCAAGGCTTCCAAGAAGTTTACTTTTTTCTAACTAAGGTTTATTTTATAAGCTGTATAACCTTGCACATTACATTTCAATTATAAAATAGGGCCAAGTGCCTTACAGGTCATTTCTACTTCTAAAATGCGCCGGTACCCTTAGGTCTTAGTTTATCTGATCACCCTCTATTAACTTGGGCCACCAAAGGTTCCCAAGGTTAAGGATAAGGTGAATGCCAATATCTAGGGCAGATGGATACTAATTTTGGCATAGCTTTACCAATATAATGCAAGAAAAGATGTCTGTGAAATCACAAGCGCATGGCCCCCGGCCAACAAATGCAATTTGACTTCGCTAAGCCCGGCTGGCGTAATGGTTAACGCGTGAGGCTTCTATAGATATGAGTCACCTCAAGATTGCGAGTTCGAGTCTCGCGTCGGGTTCAATTTGATTTTTGCAATTAGTACTCTTCATTTTTCTTTTATTTTTCTATTTCTCTACTTCTGGTCTTTGAGTGAGTCAACAACCATTAGAGCCCGCGTAGAAGTAGCGTAAATGATAGATGTTACTGAATTAGAGGGCCAATATTTCCCACTCAACGTACCAATCCGAAACAACACAGAAAAGTAACTACATGATAACGTAAATTTTTTGTGACAAACTTCAGTTTTCATCATACTATCTACCACTAGCTAGATACAGAGGTGGATGTGTCATTTTCACGAGGCTCTCCCTCTATAGCCTTACACAGCTCTTCCTCGTCCTCATCTGTCACTCTAACCCAGTGTCCGCTCTTATTTGTATGCCTGATAAGCTCTATATGGTTGGTGACATTGATGCCGCTATGATCGGATCCCATATGAGTTCCCGGCGAAGTAACGTTAACGTTTGTATGTGCATTTTTGCCGTAGAGACCAATATGCAATGTCTCCTTATAACTACAGGCGCGAGTGCTGTTGGTGTCACTGGACATTCTTCGTCCGGATATTTGCTTGTAAAGCGGGCGGTATGTCGGTATCGAAACGGCTAGCATACCGATGGTGACCTCGAGAACGCTGACGATGACAGTAGGCGCAGCGTCCCATGTCTCGTCGTGTGAGCCAGCTTTGATAGAATAAGGTAGTCGCACTATGCTCATAATCCAGGCGCTACGATACACAAGAATATCGTTGATTAGAAATTTGAAGTTGAAGTTTTGAAGTCCAAAAGATATTACTCACCTACTCCCAGCGGCAAAAGTGGACAGCACCAGCCACTTCTCCCGTTCCAAAACTTGCTTGTTCCAAATTAACGGTATCACCATAACCATGATGAGTATGTCGGTGACGCTATTTATGGTCCCAGAGATGAGATTCCGCAAACTGAAATTGATGCAGAATTCCCGAGCATCTGGTCGCCAGACATAGTCGATAGACGTGCATTGGAAGATAGCAACAACGGAACCTGACATCCCCCAACCAACTACGAAGACGGCAACTCCCCACACGCAATACCGGAACTTTTGTATTGGGAAAGTCTTGAAGTACAGCGCCAAAATGCTGAATTTAATGAAGGTATTGGCGAGGATATAGGCCGTCTGCCCAACGACGACCAACTATCCCACATTAGCTGATTATTCAGGACCCAATATATTTTTGAACTGAAGAGACGCCAGAGACTTCACAGCCATGTCTCGACAATGCCAATAACTGCAACGGGGAGAGAGTAGGGGGTTATGGAATAGAAGGGTATAACTCACGACCTGAACCCTGTGGATATCTGTGACCACTACTATATGCCGTCCGATCCCGTATTTCGTGGCAACAGCCCAAGAGACGCTTAAGGTAGCGAAGAACACCCAGGCAATAAGAATAAGCCAATCACTCGCTTCCAAGTGTAGTCGCCCATGTAGTAACCGCCGGGAGAGGAGACGCAGGGCTATGATAACGACGGAGGCCATACTCGTCATAACGCAAGCCATGATGAGCCCGGGCACTCGCGTCTCGTCACTATGCTCATACTGCCACTCGAGCTCCTGCTGCGGCAGTTCGAACCCCATCGTGACCTCGGCTGCCATAGTTTGTCAGCGCTGTCGTCTTGGTTCGATTATTCTAGTCGTGGCTATCAGACAGTACTGGTCAGACCGCTTGTTGGCGATGAAGGAGCTACATATTTCGGTCACGAGTTGAATTCCGTAGATCGGACATCCCCACAAGCAAGTAGTTAGATGGGAAAAATTATTTGATTAAATGGCCCGCCGTCTGCGCGTGCTTTATTCTTGCAGGTGGCTACAAGGTGCGTCTTGAAACAGAGAACTAGGTTGTTCCGCACCGGGCACCATATGTCACCGATTGCCCTTATCTATCACTACTTTATTAGTGCCCTATATGAATATATGATAATCCCATCAGTGGTCGGCGATATTTTCGGTGCCACGCCGCTAGATCCCGGAATGTCACGCCCCTCCCCCCTGGGGGTTCGGTGATCATCTCGGGTTTCGAATGGCCAAGAGGGCGACCACGGTGGGATCTCTTGAGACTCTCGACTACTTAGCTATCCTTTATTGATTAATATATTTAGCTGCCAACGCTCCTAGGGTGGCTGACCCCATCCGTATAATCGGGCCGTCGGTCTCTCTATGTCTCAACGGTTGTGCCAAGGATCATAGGATAGAGTGAGACAAGTATACACCATCCGCCTGGTCTTTACCACGAAGGATAATTTTGACTCACGAATAGACGTGCAACTGAAACAGAAGGGGTGACGTGTAATAAAATGGAACACGCATAGAAGGGCAATCCATCCGCTTTCTTTCTTTTGGTAGAACTCAAGGTATGTGGGTAAATAGACACACAACAGCCAGGACACGCCCTCAAACGTTGTCTTTTTTATAAATTCTGTTGGCTATCCCCATACGTCAAGGAAGCCTCGTTTTGCCACGTTCTGCTTCCCAAGAGTTGAGATCAACGACTTTATCCCCCGCGAGCGCAAGCTTAATTATGTCTAAATTGCTAACAAGTGCCTACCCGAGGTCTCACTTTTGTAAAATTCTGCTGGTGCTTGAGCTATGACATTTTGCTTTGCATTTAAGGATAGTCTTCTTAATTGCTACAGACAAGATAGGAGCATTGGACTCCTTGAAGTCTCAACTGCTCATGATATCCGAGCTTCGGATCTTGCTCCTCGGCCGGTGTTATTGTGGCTGCTGTGCAGACTTCTAAGTCCTACCGCAGAAAACGTAGGGGTTCCCACCTCGGTTTTTGGCCATCGGGGTTAGCTCATGAGCCTTTCAATACTAATATTGTCTTTCATGTAACTACGCCAATGGCCATGTTGTTTCATAAGTTAAGCTTTTAGCGTCACACAGTATAAATGATTAGTCGGGAAAACTTGAATGAGAGGCTCAGAAGTAAATGTGATATATCATGACAACAAGGTACGAAATAATAATAACTGTTGCCTCTTTAAGCTGCTGGTAAGTCTTATGACTCCTTGAAATCCTTATAACGATAAGGTGAGAATACTAGATTGGTTTGTATTATAAGTGACCGGGCCTCGGAGGTTTTACAAGGCTAAATAGATGAGTAACATATTTAAGAACTAAACAGAATGACCTCTCTGAAGCGGAGACCTGATTTCTCTTCTTCTTTTGAAGAAAAAAAAATAAAAATGAATAATACTAGTTTAATGTCATTATAGGAATAAATAACACAGTAGAGCATGCTTTCAAGCAACTTGACTAGCAATACGAGGCACAACTCTGCAACCTCACGACAAAAGAGCGGATTGGGACGGGCTCTGGGGGTTGTAGTTTGACGTCGGGATAGATATCGCCGCTGCCCTCGTGTTTGAGCTCATCGAAGGTTATGCGGATGCAAAAGTCGTCATCGTGAAGCGGGACTCTGACCTCTGGTGGCAATGCTTCACGAGCAGTTTTCCTGAGAGTCCGCTTAATGCAAGCCATGTAGAAGATGCCGTTAGGTTTCTTTAGTGTTACGTCTTGTAAGGCATATATGATGCGCAAATTAGGGGAGCATTACATGAAGGTAAGTGGGATATGATAGTTTTCTAAGTGTTATGAAGGAGCGGTATGAAGCTGAACATAATTTATTACATGTATAGCATGATATCTTCTTTTATCCGTAACAACAAGGGCATTTAGTCACTCGTTACTAATATTTCGCGAAGAATTTCTTTTTTTTCACCTCACCTTTCCACTTCGGTGGACAGAATTTGTGACTGTTGGCGTGGGTTGTAATTATTGTACGAGTTGTTCCCTTTCCCTAGTTTATAGCTTGCGTTGCCGGATATATAAGCCGGGCGCAGTATGTAGGTTGGGGCGCAATATCCTGGACGATTAAATACAGTGCATGTTATTTACTACGTACGGTAAGGAGTCTCTAACATCGTAAAGTAAGTTCACAGCATTTTTAGGCCCGCCCGGGCCTTGCAGCTTCCTTCTTTTTCCCCGCCAACAGCATTAGTCTACTACACTTACATGAGGTAGGTACACGCAAGCTCCAGGCCTGCGCCGTTGCTACCTTGCTTTGTACCCGATTCTAGCCATGAAAAAAACAAAAACAAAACAAAACTAAGTATTATTGTTCAATTCAATTCATCTAACAGAAAAACATAGCCCTTTGTCCATCCACATCGGTCGCTTCGAAGCCGAGCAATCCTAATTGTATCTAACTGCCTCTGTCCGCGCCGGCGCAATTTTGACGCGGTTACAGTCAAAACACTTGCCCTGTGCTTCGCGTATGGATGGATACATGCATGGCTACGGCGACGAATCATCGGAATTTGGAGACTCGTAAAGGCGGCCGGGTAGACGGCAATAGTGCCCGAAACAAAGACTCCCCAATGCCAGAGCCACAAGCACCACCCTCGCCGCCGGCGACTGAAACCGACACCGATCCCGAGTCTCCTTCATCGCCTCTCCCGCCGCCAACGAACTTCACACGAGAAACGATCGGGTTGAACACAAGATCGCAACTGTCAGCAATAGACTCTGGAATAGACTCTGGAACAGACTCGGGGCAAGGTGGCGATGGGACAACATTGCGCCTAGATACCAACATGGAGGAAACCGGGGGCGCAAATGCCAGCACCGGTGCGACCAGCAATTCCCAGTCACCGATAACTTCGCCCGTTACATCGCCACCATATTGGATGGCGCGCAGCAGCCAGGACCACCCATCAGGCCACGGGCGGACTGTCTCGAGTGCTTCGGCCGATTCGTTGATCACCGCTGGCCTGGGCATAACATTGCGAGATAATGAGACTAGCAGTATCGATGACCGAGGGAGTGCGTGCTGGGCCAAAAGCGTCCAAGTAACCGACTATGTCACCGTTAACGGTAGCACAACGAATATTGGCGCCTTCGTTGTATGGAACATACGGGTTGAGACGTTAAGAGTAAGTGACTTCCCAACGGAATTGGTTATGAATGAGTATGATCGAA